AAAAAGTAAAAACATGACATACACAAAATACATTGTAATCTGTTAGGATTACATTACTTTATCAAACCATTTCACATACATTTTGTCCCGAGTGCTTTGTCCTGTGCCCTGCCTGCCTGCATTTGCCTTTGACCATTCTTTCTGCTCTGGAAACTTGAGAAATGTCCATGGCATCCAAAAAGCGTCCCTTTAGGGGTCAAAAGTGGTTTTAGACCAGCTAGAGAACAGCGATAGTAAATTAGAATCACTTGCAGAATTGAGTCATAATGATTCGTGGGGAAATTCGTCATCAGACACTGAAAGTGACGACAGCGACGATTCTGCGACTGAGCTCAGTGATGTGAGAACTTGGCGCTCTATTTCAAATTTTAGTATTTTTGATTTGATTACATTACTGAATTAAATTTATTATTATACTTTTATTTTTTATAATTATTTATTATATTATAATTTATGATTTTGTGTTTCAAACTTTATCATACCCGGGATGTTTAGTAGACTCTTGTTCGGACAGATTTAAGTGAGTTATTCCTAAGAATTACGGGCCTACAATATAAAACAACAAATTTCCATGCAAAACAATGTACTGTTTTGACATGTAAAAATATTGACATAATCAGACCGCCAGGGAGGTTAATTCCAGTCAGGGGCGGACTGACCATTGGAGCACTCGGGCACTGCCCGAGGGCCCAGAGTCAGTAGGGGGCCCCATGAAATTCCCCTGGTACCTTTTTTATAGGCTTTTTTGTGTGTGCTTTGAGTGTGGGCAAGGACACAGGGGCCCCATGATCCCCTATTGCCCGGGGGCCCCATGAGTTGTCAGCCACCCCTGATTCCAGTTATGGATTTTTTTTAGTATATTCCCATTGTTCCAGCATGGATCAATGTAAGTATACATATTCCTCACCTGACCAATCCCTTTGGAAAAGCAGAGAAACAATGTAGTATTTGCAGCTACTACATTAAGCTTCTCTGCCTTCCGGGTTCTGCACCAAGTGGCTGCCCTGCTGCTTAGTAACAACTTCATTTTTCTAAATGAATGCAGTTTTCTCTAATTGGATGTGGTGGAGCAGTGACCTCACAATCTCTATGTCATCCAATCGCCTTGTTCCTTTTCTAAAGGGCGCCCATGCTGAGCAAGCGGCCCCCCTCTATGCAGCAGGGCAGCAGCTTGGCACGGGACACGGAGGACAGAAAGCATAACTGCAGTAGCCTTGGGTAATATAGTGATTTCCAGCTTCCACAGAGATCGGCCAGGTATGAAACATACATATTATTATTATTATTATTATACAGGATTTATATAGCGCCAACAGTTTGCTCAGCGCTTTAACAAAATAAAGGGAGACAATACAGTTCAATACAAGAGGGTTAGGAGGGCCCTGCTCCTTGGAGCTTACAATCTAAGAGGGAGGGGCTGGTGGTACAAAAGGTAATAACTGTGGGGGATGGACTGGTGTGGAGGAATAGAAGTTTCCATTATTAGCTGAATGCAGGATAGGCTTCCTGGAGAGATAGGTTTTCAGAGATCGCCTGAAAGTGAGCAGAGTAGGCGATAGTTTGATAGATTGGGGTAGAGAGTTCCAGAGGATGGGGGAGGCTCTGGAAAAGTCCTGGAGATGAGCATGGGAGGAGGAGACAAGGGAGATAGGGAGCAGGAGGTCGTGGGAAAAGCGGAGAGGACGGCATATTTCCATTGCTCCAGCTTGGAGCATTGCAAAAAAAATAAAAAGTCCTGGATCCTTTTTTAAAATAGTGGCACACAGAACCATGGGGTTTAGCGCATGAAAATGCAGACTTTTTGCTGATATGCGGGGTGCCATTAAGAATGAATGGCAGCCCCGTGCATCTTTTAAAAAGCAGCGTGTTGGGAATGTGCATGATGGTGAGCGCTTTCCCAACACGTACTACTATGAGCCTAGGCTGACCCGCTACCGTGGGATGGAATACTGGATCCAATGAACACTGCACTGGGACACAGACTGAGAAACAGCATTTTATTCTGAAGCCAACTATTTTTCTTTTAGTTTTGTGTAAAGTGTTAAAATGCATGTCAAGGTTTGTTTTTCCCTGTGTCCCATTGGGGAGATTACCCTTTTACCCTCCTGTCCCTTAGATACTACAGGACGTGGAGCAAATCTTTCAACAAATATCCCCATTAGGCCTAGTTTACATTTGCTTTTTGGGGCGGTAAAAATAGGCATAAAGCCACATTTTTACTGCTCCCTGACTGTTTCCGATTAAGCTGCAAAGGCAGCCATATGGGGGATATACACATGCTGCAGCTGCAACGATTCTCATAGTGATACACATGCTGCAGCTGCAATGATTCTCATAGTGGTGTGGCAAAAAAGTGAGTGGGGCCGCACTGCAACCGTGAATCAAATGCTAAATGTGTGGTTGCAGTGCAGTACTGTCATTAAAAAAAAGGTCTTTCGGCTGTAACAAAAAAAAAAAAAACAGACAGCCCTATCGCATCCTGAATGCCAGTCAGTCACCCCGTTGCTGCTCTGTGAAAAGTGATTCACAACAGATCGCTTCTCACAGACAGTGTAAATGAGCCCTGTGTTCCTGTTGTGGTGATAGAACACCTGCCCCACCTAACAACTGTACATGTATTTTCGCCATCAGCCCATCCCCCCACAGTTATTGCCTCCCTGCCTCTGATTGTAAGCTTTAATGAGCAGGGCCCTCTAATCCCTCCTGTATTAAAGTGTACTGTCTGCCCTTATGTTGTAAAGTGCTGTGAAAACTGTTGGTGATATAAATCCTGTATAATAATAATAATAATATAATAATAATGATAGAAAATGTTCCCCAACATTCGTTCCTGATGACAGCAATCATCAGCAGAAAGAGAAGGGATAAACACAGGCATTTGGATGTATTTCCCTGCCTGGGTGTCACCCATAGAAATCAATGGCTACATGTAGGTATATGATGCTACCTGCACAAACACAGGGACATACGGCCCTGGACACAGTGTTAGCTTTAACCACTTGCCCTCCAGAGCATTTACCCCCCTTCCTGACCAGGACATTTTTTGTGTTACGGAGCTGTGTTACTTTAACTGACAATTGCGCGGTCATGCAACGCTGCACCCAAATGAAATTTACGTCCTTTTTTCCACACAAATAGAGCTTTCTTTCGGTGGTATTTGATCGCCTGTGCATTTTTTAATTTTTTGCGCTATAAAAAAAAAGACCAACAATTTTGAGAAAAAAACTATATTTTTGACTTTTTGCTATTAAACATGTTCAGTAAAAAAAAAAATAAAAAAATCAAATTTCATCTTAACTTAAGCCAAAATGTATTCTGCTACATGTCTTTGCTAAAGAAAATCCCAATACGTGTAAATTAATTGGTTTACGTGAAAGTTATAGTGACTACGGATGGCAGTATAGATACTGAAATATTTTTATTTATTTATTTTTTTGCTAGTAGTGGCGGTGATCAGCGGCTTATAGCGGGACTGTGGCAGGCATTCTGACACTGGTGGGAACTGACTTGGTGTCACTGACATTCCCAGTGACAGCAATACAGTGATCGGTGCTAATAGAAAACACTGACACTGTACTAATAGCACTGGGCAGGAAGGGGTTAAATACACAGAACTATATTGCTGTAGAAGCTAGGGTTGCCACCTCATCCCTTAAGCCCTGGTTCACATATACGCGGTGCGGTATATTGCATGTGATTCGCACAGGAACTGCACCGCATCCCTGTGCAAATCACATGCGATTTGTGTGCGGTACGATTGGAGCCATGCATTTTGTATGGCTCTGATCACACCGCACCAAAAAGGTGCAGAACCCTTTTTTGGGTCCATTGGTGCTGACCTGATTGGAAGCCGGGTGTAAGTGGAACCAAGGAGGTCTGGAGTCCGTTCCTAGGGTGTACTAAGTGCCTGAGAAGTGCCTCATCCCTACCGGTTCCTACCACTAGTGCCCTTCTGAGTGTCATATACATGCGCAATTATATTGTGTGTCTGGTGAGTGCAAGCACACCTCTTTTCTTATCCACAGAAGTCACGAGCACCTTATTAATGCAACTCCAGTGAGAAGGGACCATTATCCAGACACTGGATGATTTAGGCACCTATAAGAAAAAGTTGATTTCATGGACTGCTATACGTTTATAACGTGCGTTTACCTTACTGCAATTCGTCTGGTTTAAGATGACGCACTATTGTTACTTTATTGTGCTCATCTTCAGTGCTTTGATTTATCTATTATCACTTGTCACTTTGCATTTCATTTTTATGTAAGATATATTGATATTCATATGTATTTTAGCGCTGCATTTTTGATCTATATGGTATTAAGGATTTAGAGGTTTTTTCCTTATGCAAGCTGCTTTTATCGCTATGTTAAGAAGCGCTCGCTTGATTGTTTATTTTAGATAACTTTTTTCGGTCCGCACTAGCATCGGATCGCATGGGTATTCACATCTATGCGATCCGATTCTGCACATCGCACTGCGTTTTGCAGACCACTTTCGGGGTATTGTTAACTTAACATACACACCCGCAGCGGTTCGCATGAACGGGGTGCGATTCTGATGCGGTGTGGAATTCGCACAGAAAACGCTGGGAATTTCACACCGCATCAGTGTGAACCAGGGCTTAAACCCGAACACATATTAATTTCACAGGTTCTGAAGTGAATTTAATGCAGATAAGGCACTAAGTGAGCTTAATTATCACCTTAATCAGCCCCAGAACCTGAGTAATAAATAGGTGTTCGGTTTTAAAGGGATGAGGTAGGTACCCTAGTAGAAGCTGAGGGAAGAGGGTTAGAATCTGGTAAATGCAAAGTGCCCTTATCCTTTATATTTATTTATTTCAGGTATTTAGATAGTGCCGTCAATTTACATATTTATATAAATATTGTACATTCACATCAGTCCCTAACCCTCAAGGGGCGTACAATCTAAGGTCCCTAACTCACATTCATACACATACTATGGACAATTTAGGCAGGATCCAATTAACCTACCAGCATGTCTTTGGAGTGTGGGAGGAAACTGGAGTACCCGCAGGAAACCCACACAGGCACAGGGAGAACATGCAAACTCCAGGCCAGGGGCGGACTGACAACTCATGGGGCCCCCGGGCAATAGGGGATCATGGGGCCCCTGTGTCCTTGCCCAAACTCAAAAAAGCCTATGAAAAAAGGTACCAGTGGCATCTCATGGGGCTCCCTACTGACCCTGGGCCCTCGGGCAGTGCTCTTGTTTCCAAATGGTCAGTCCGCCCCTGCTCCAGGCAGGGGTGCCGTGGTTGGGATTCAAACCAATGACTCTAGCACTGCCAGGCAGAAGTGCTAACCACTAGGCCACTGTGCCACCAAGCATATAGGCCTTCTTCACCAGAGAGGCAAGCCTGGTGCGGAGGAACTTCAATTATTGCATGCTCACTGAAAACTGATGACATCACTGCGAGCATTGTCACTAGTTCCCATGATAGGCCTCATCCTCTTATTGGTTCTGACTACGTCTACCTTTTTCCTTTGGCGACCAGTTATCTTTAATATGCATTTAAGTTTCCATACATACCAGTTTGGGTTTTTTTCTTGGGGGCGACGCTGTCATAGAAAGCCTTGGCCTCACTGGTGTCGTGTGAACCCAACGACTCCGTCTTGGGTGATGGTTGAGTCGTGTCCGGGGCAGGATTATCTTTCGCTGAGTTCATGGCGTTCCAGTTTCTTCGTAGCACTCGGATAGCTTGTTTGCTGTTGCTGAAGGCAGCGGGGGCTCAGTTCCTGTGTTTGCGGACGATGACCTGCGATGGATGTGCACCGCGCTCGTGTTCAGACCCTGCAAGAAGGAAGGTGAATGTTTCAGCAGCTGCTATAGATACTATGAGATGCTGCAGTAGTGTGACACTTCCGCATCGGACACATACAACAGGCAGGAGGGAGAGGAACCAACACCCTCTACTCATGACTCACCAAGGGGGGAGTGATCTGTACAGGCATCTGTCGGAGGAATGGAGAAAGTATGGCGACCTCTGAGCAGCCAATCATCTGGATATAGTACAGAGAATGGGAGGAGGTGGAGAGGAGGCTGTAGGCTGTATCCACCCTTCCCATACAAACTACAAACGTCCCACACCCTTCTGACACATTGGAAACTTCAAAAGAACGCGTTATGATGCATTTGCAACATTTTAAATCATTTTGCACTAATGCTGCTGATTAATCATGCATCTTTCAGACCCTTTTTTAGCTTTTTTATGTGCGTTTTTTTATGCATTTTTGTTTTTCACAATGACCAGCAATAACTGCTGTGATGTCATTGTTGCTAGGAGGAAGAGACTGAAAAAAAAGAAATAGACCTAAAAAACACATGGACGTGTATTTTTCATGTGCTCCCATTGAAGTTTCTCAATTTTTTTTTCACTTGTGGCACCCTTTTTTTTATTATTATTATTATACAGGATTTATACAGCACCAACAGTTTGCTCAGCGCTGTACAATATATTATTATTATTATTATACAGGATTTATACAGCACCAACAGTTTGCTCAGCGCTTTACAATATATTTATTATTATTATACAGGATTTATATAGCGCCAACAGTTTGCTCAGTGCTTTACAAAATAACGGGAGACAATACAGCAACAATACAGTTCAATACAAGAGGGATAGGAGGGCCCTGCTCCTTGGAGCTTACAATCTAGGAGGGAAGGGCTCATTCACAGGAAAAAATGCTGCGTTTAGATGCGCATAGCGTATGGTTTCGTGTGCATCTAAATGCAACACTGTAATAATAAATGAGCCCATACACACAGCTCTGAGTCTACATGTGAAAATGTGTAATGTGGTTCGCCATGCATAAAGAAAAGTAGGACAGATTTTTTGGTGCATAAACAGGCGTACCTCAGTTTACCAACGCCTCGGTTAAGGTAATTTTCGGTTTACGAATTAAAATAATGCCTCGGTTTTTACAAATTTTACGAAGCAAGTTTCCCCAGGATGCATTGTCCCTGGGAGGTTTACGCAATACGAAGCAAGTTTCCCCAGGATGCATTGTCCCTGGGAGGTTTTTATAGCGCCGGCCCCGTGCCTTTAAATTGCACTTTATAAAGAGTTTTGAACAGATGACTTTTTGTTTTACTTTTTTTTTTTTACCTCCCGAGCGGATTATTTGGTTTTCACTGCATTTACAATTTTCTTTTGCAATACGAAGCAAGTTTCCCCAGGATGCATTGTGCCTGGGAGGTTTATAGCGCCAGCCCCATGCCTTTAAAGTGCACTTTATATAGAGTTTTAAGCAGATAAGACTTTTTGTTTTACTTTTTTCTGACCTCTGGAACGGATTAATTGGTTTTCAATGAATTTACGATTTTTTTTTTGCAACACGAAGCAAGTTTCCCCAGGATGCATTGTGCCTGGGAGGTTTATAGCGCCAGCCCCGTGCCTTTAAAGTGCACTTTATAAAGAGTTTTGAACAGATAAGACTTTTTTTTTTTTTTTTTTTTACTTTTTTTCTGACCTCCGGAACTGATTAATTGGTTTTCAGTGTATCTACAAATTTTTTTCACAATACAAAGCAAGTTTTACCAGTATGAATTGCGTCTGGGAGGTTTATAGCGCTGGCCCCATGCATTCTGGAGCCTGTGGGTAGCACGTGGCGTAGAATGTGCAGGTGTTGGAGCAATTTTTGCATCGAGTTTTGGAGCCTTTCTGGAAATTTTTAATCATGTCCCTGTACAGTATTTATGCCTTTAAAGTGCACTTTATAAAGAGTTTTGAACAGATAAAAGACTTTTTTTTTTACTTTTTTTTTTACCTCCAGAACGGATTAATTGGTTTTCAGTGCATTTCTATGGGAAACAGCTTTTTGGTTTATGAATTTTATGCAATACGAAACGTCCCAGAGAACACAGTAAATTTGTAAACAGATACTCCTGTATACAGGTACGCCTGTATATGGGTCATTCAGACAGATGATTAAAGTGGTTGTAAAGGCTCAAGATTTACTACCTTCATGTATTCTATGCATGAAAGTAAAAAAACCTTCTGTGTGCAACTTCTCCCCCAATCCTTACCTGAGCCCCCTCTGATCCAGCGACATTCTCAATAGCCTCTGCTGTCTGGGGACTCTTTCTCCTCATTGGCCGAGACAGCAATGGAAGCCCATTGGCTCCAATCACAGCCAGTGAGCCAATGAGGAGGGAGGGGGCGGGGCCAAGCCATAGCGCCATGTGTCTTATGGACACATAGAGCAGCACGCAGAGGTGCCTCCAGGGCCAGCGGCTTTCCCTGGGGACACTGCTTGAGGAGGAGGAGCCAGGAGCGCTGGAGGGAACCCCGAAAAGAAGAGGATCGGGGCTGCTCTGTGTAAAACCACTGCACAGAGCAGATAAGTATAACATGTTTGTTATTTTAGAAACAAAAAACAAACAAAGCTTTAGTGTCACTTGAAACAGGAGTTCCACTCGATTTTTAAAGTTTGGTCCCCACTTATTGCTTCCTGCTGTCCCATCAATGTTTGGCACATTTATTTTTCTACTAAAGCTTCCATACCTTTAGGCTAGGTTCACATATGTGCAGGTGGTGCCGCTGTGATTCCACATGAAAATCTGTGCAGCCGCACTACCCGCACTACCCGCACAGAGCAATGTGGACCCGCGGGCGGGTGCCATTAGTTCTAATGGCACGCCGCCCGCACTGGAAAATGCAACCATACTGGGAACCGAGGTTCCCGTGCGGGCTGCGTTTTCAGAAGAAGTGCAGGGACTTCTTTCCTTCGTGTCCCGAGGCACGGGAGTCCATTCAAATGAATGGGCTCTCGTGCCCGCGCAAAACGCAGCCTGCACGGCCGCATATATGTGTACCAGGGGTTAGGCTACTTGAAGCATTGCACTTCCGATGTGCCTTTCGCTGCAGCGAGGTACATCACATCTTCCTGCCTGTTGGTTCCTGGGATGTATGTATCATCAATCCCAGAAGTCAACAGGCATCACCTACTCTGCAATTAGTGTGCCGCGCTTTCTTCACACTGTGCAGGTGCAAGATCGGGAGGTGCATGCTGGGTAGCCAGCTGCACCGTATCCCAGATGAAAGTGTGGCCAGGCTTCAGATGCCCACAGTGAAGATGGAAGAACACAAGATCACGAGGGGCCACTGAGTATCTTTAAAAAAACAAAGCAAGACAAACAATTACATATGCAACTTATGCAAATTTGATTTAAAAAAAAAAGGAAAAAAATGACTGGAGCTCCACTTTAAGTGTTCAGATCCATTCACCCGCTCCTGCCTCCATGTCAAACTTTGCCATGTGATTGTGTCCAGGCTGGTGCTGCATGAGCATCCATGGGTTGATGCTAGTGGCTCTGCACAGGACAGGTTAAAAGCTTGTCTGAATGAGCCCATAACACACATAAACACGTACATGTGTAGTAATTCATTGGAATGAAAGAAGATTTGGATGTACCTAAACATTGTACGCATCTACACTCAAGTGCTTTAGGAGCGCATTTTACTCAGGATCTTCTGCTAGCTCTGCCAACAGGAACCTGTGTTCCATGCAGAAAATATGCATAGGCCCGTGTGAATGAGTCCTTAAAAGTAGGCAAAATTTAAAGGCACCCGAATTTAAAATGTAAATGTTATTTATCAATAATACCTATTTATCAATAGGTATCCTGAGCCTGTTATGATGCACACAACCACCTTGATGAAATGAACTTCACATCAGATTCCCCCCTTTAGACTAGGTTAATGGCTCGTGTATATGCGGGCACAAGCAGCCCATTGATTTGAATTGGATGGTCTGCTTGTGCTTCCCACAGAAAAAAAGGTACCTTCAGCATTTTCAAAACAAAGCCACAGGGAAATCACATGTGATTTTCCTGCGGTTTCCTCACCCTAAATGCGCTTTGGGTTTATATATTTATATATTAGGAACAGGGGCGGACTGACCATTTGGAAACTCGGGCACTGCCTGAGGGCCCAGGCTCAGTACGGGGCCCCATGAGATGCCCCTGGTACCTTTTGCATAGGCTTTTTTGAGTTTGGGCAAGGACACAGGGGCCCCATGATCCCCTATTGCCCGGGGACCCCATAAGTTGTCAGTCCACCCCTGATTAGGAATGAATAGCAGCACGTTTTGGGTGCAGGAACAGCTACAAAACCCTCAACCACCCACAAGAGTGTGAAACCTAGCCTTACATCTCAGTCCACCTATCATTTCAGAGGTCTCTCCTTTATGTCAGTCACCCCTCACACCAGAGGCCCCTCATCAAATCAGTCCTT